CATAATTTCTTTTTTATTTTGTTTTATTTTTTTAAAAATTGTTTTAAAATTCTTTTTCTTCACATCATAAATAATTTTTTTAAATTTAAAATTCTTTTTGTTTTATGATAAAATGTAATTTTAGAAAGAAAAAGAAATTTTAAAATATGATAAAAGTAATTTTAAGAAGAAAAAAACGTAATTATTTACAATATGAAGAAAAAGAAATTTTAAAAAAATATAATAAAAACAAAACAATCAAACAAAGGAAAGTCATGAAAATTAAATAAAGAATATATAAATATTATTTAATTAAAATTGAAAAAATAAAGTTTTTTATAAAGAGAAAAGAAATAGAAGAAATTTTAATTCAAAACAATATTTATATGATGAGCAAAGCAAATTAAAAAAAGAAAAAAGAAAAAAATTGGACGAAGAGCCTCTCCGTCTCCATAACACGGAGATATTTTCTCATTGTTATGAATAGGACACTCCATTTTTTTTATTTGTTTTGTTCATTATATAAATATTTTTTCGATTTTAAATTCTTTTTAATTTTTTCAGTTTTAATTAAATAATATTTATAAATTCTTTATTCAATTTTCTTAATTTTCTTTTGTTTAATTTGTTTTGTTTTTATTATATTTTTCCAAAGTTGTTTTAAAATTATTTTCGTCATATTATAAATAATTTTTTTCGATTTAAAATTCTTTTTGTTTTATGATAAAACTAATTTTAAAAAGAAAAGCGTAATTATTTATAATATGAAGAAAAATGAATTAAAATTTTTTTAAGAGAATATAATAAAAAAATTAAACAAAAGAAAGTTATGAAAAATAAATAAAGAATATATAAATATTATTTAATCAAAAATGAAAATAATTAAATTTTATCATAAAAAAAACGAATTTTAATTTAGACAAAAAAAATTTATATGATGACCAAAACAAATTATTTGTAATTGTTACAGTCATAATTGATTGTATTGGTCCTATTTTTTCATTTTTATTTTGATTAATGCTATTTGTAATCACTACTGTCATAATCGTCATATATGACATATATGTGGTGATTAATGATTTGATATATAAAACAATAAAAAAACTATCACAATAATATATCAAATCACTAATTGCTGCATGCATGCTATATAGGGCAACTATGAACTGCAAATAACATTACTCATTTATTTTTCGTATCATTTTAAGCCATTTCAAATTGTGACAATTAACATACTTTTATTGCGATTGTTATCATTGAATTATAATTGGACTTAAAAATAATTAGAATTAAATTCAGAAGTAGCACTACAGAACAAGACGTCGAGATGACTATCTCTAGACCAACTCTATGAAAAATGGTTCATCTATACTTCGTAATTCGTAATGTGTGCACTAGAGAGAGAGAGAGAGAGAGAGAGAAGAAGAGAAAATTGTATACTTTAGTAGAACATTTATTATATATATATATATATATATATATATATATTTTTTTTTTTTTTTTTGACATTATATGACAATTTTAATTTCACTCTTACCGTCCTAAAGGTGTTTTGAACCTCAGCCAATGATCAAATAAGGTTTCACTTTTACCACGTGAGCTAGACATTGATCGACAATATCTGACTTCCAGTGATTCTATTTTTTATTTTTAATATTTTATGCCAATTGAAACTAAAAGAGTGTTTGGTTGGGATTGAAATATGTTGTCAAAAAGTTGTGAGATCCACAAAGATGTGATTAATATTAATTATTTAATTTTAATTTAAATTAAAATCAAATTTTAATCCAAACCAAACAAACACAAAAGTCAATTCAATCTTGTTGTCTTGGAAGCTCCCATATCAATCTGTCCCAAATTGTCAACATTTTGTTTCTGATTCTCCAGTGTGAATAAAAGTATCGCTACCAAACTAAACATTTGAGGGAAAAAAAAATTTAATAATAAATAAGCGATTCCAACAAAAAAAAGCCGGAACAAATAAATAAAAATGGATCACTACATTATAATTAAATGACCTTATTTGGTTACGAACAATTCGATCTTATTAACAAAGATGTTGTTCATAGCGAATGTAAGTAACCGACGAAAAGAAATGATCTATTGTTACATCATTCAATGAATATATGTGAATCCAGAATATTTTCATTAATCATTCTTTAAGTGTAAAAATAGGAAAAATGATATAGTTGTCTTTTTATTGAGCCCCTATTTGACATCCATAAAATTTTAAAAATATTGTTTTGAATAGTAAATTTTTGGAGAATATGTGGTTAAAAAGTAGGAAAAATTTCAAATTTACATGTAGAATATTTTATTATCTAAATGTTTGATTAAAAATTAGTATGAGAAATATATTAAATTAAAACTGTATGACCTCTTTCCAAAAACTTGGTGCGCGATGCATGAATAACACCGATGACATGCTACTCCCGTAAACATGAGCCTCAATAACGACGAAAGACTGCAACTCTCAAACTAAGCCTAATATCTGGCCATGTTTGAGCCACATTATTTTTCAAAAAAATACAATCTTAAACAGTGATTTGATTTCATTTTAACCATACATTTTTCAATAAAATAATATTAAACGCAAATGCAAAACTTTTCTTTATTTTTTAACCACACATTTTGTATCAATACACTATTCAAAAATATATTCTTAGAAATATAATGTGGCTCAAACATGGGCTAAAATCGACCTTCATTTAAATAATTTCATAAAATCAAGTCTAAATGAATAAGTGTTGTTGCCAACTTCAACTCATGAGTTCGTGTTGATGATTCAAAACATAGATTTAGAGCTTGTTTGTCCAAAAAAAAATATTTTTCTTTCCCGCAAAACCCGTCAATGATTAAAAAAATACACAAAAATCTTGTTAATTTGCGAGGGAAATTAGGGCTACTCTCTAGAACCTTTTACGTAATGTGATTATGTGTTAGTTAAGTTTTAGGTTCTCATGTAATTGAAATCGACAATGAATACATTTAAATCAAAGCTTGATGACAAAATTATTAATTCACTTAACATGTCTCTCTAATTCAATTAAGGCCATGTTTGATTCAACACCTTTTCTATGGAAAATGAAAAATGAATTCCATTTTCCACCTTTTTTGGTGTTTGATAGACAATATTTTATTGGCAATTCCAATTCCCACTTTGCCTCACACGTTTACAAATTCTTGGATTTTGGGGAAAATCAATTCCCATGGGGTTGGGTGGCTTTTCATTTTCCACCTTTTTTTGTTTTTATTTTTGGCAATGGAAACAAATTTTAAGAACAATTGTAAAAGAGGATATTCCTTAAATTGATAATTTTCATATAATACAAAGCCAAACGAACAACAAAATATAGATAATTTTTGAAATTTTTTATTTTTGACAATGAAAACAAATTCTAGGAACAATTGTAAAAGATGATATCTTTTAAATAGACAATTTTCATAAAAATAAAGCCAAACGAACACAAAAAAATACTTTTATTTCAACGTTTTCCGAATGAAAAATTATACCAATCAAACACAATAATTAACAATTTTCAGTAAAACAATTTCTAGGCAATTCACTTCCCTGGAATTTATTTTCTTTTCATCCAAATTTCATCTTTGCAATCAAACGAACCCTAATATTCACGTATGATATTAAAATCTATATTAATGAGTTTCTTCACATGACGATCTAGATTCACGAATTTAAATGCGTTGGAAGTCCAGATACTCACTTTAAAGATTGAAAACCCACAATCATAGCTTATGAGAGGTTGGAGAGTCCAATTCTCGTGCTTGTTTGGTGGGAATTTTGATAATTACTTTTTTGATCGTTAGAGAGAAAGTGAGTCCTATTTGTGAGAGAAAAATTCAAAATGACTGCTGAAATAGTGAAATAAGGATTAAAAAATTAATTTTAATTGACTTTTAAACCTAGGGTTGGGCAAATCTCCTGAACCGAACCGAACCGAACTGAACCCGATGGTTCTTATCAAATTAAATACTCGAATGAGTATCTGAATTGAGAACCGACTGGTACGGTTCGGTTCTCGGTTCTAGACTAGGAACCGAAAAATCAAAATTTTCTAATTTTTTTTATATTGAGTAAATCAAATTATTTTAATTTTAATTTTTTCTAAATAAATTAACAATTTCTAAATCCAAATTTTTGGCCTAATAATTTGTTTCATTTCTAATTTTTTAATTTTTGGCCCAATTACCCATTTTATTATTTTATTTTTTAGCCCAACAAGATCCAATCTACTAAATAACCATAAACACCTATACTAAAGTGCATAATGTTGTCTCGACTCTTGCACTCACTCTCGTAGCCTCGCTAACATTTCAAAACCTATACAATTATCGGTCGACGCTGTGACATCCGATCGAAGCTGTGACCTCCGCCGACCAAAACTTTAACCATAGCGATTATTTGAAAAATGTAGTCTACTAGTCTGACATTCCAAAACCATTGAATGTATCATTAGTTATATTTACATAATGTTGTTATAAATGTTAAAAATTTTAATTATAGTACAGAACGGAACGGAACCGAACCCGAACGGTTCTATAATTATATTTGGACCCGACGATTCCATTTAGTAGATACCTGAAAAATTTGATTCGGTTCGATTCTAAAGACACATCCACCCCTATTTAAAACTTATCAAACACGAATAGTGAAATAACGATCAAAAAATTAATTTTTACTAATTCAAAACCAATTTGCAAATGAATACATGTCCAAGGTAATATTGGAGTTGACCTGTCCTTCGACCTCCTCAAAGAATGTAATAATGAAAATTCAACTTCCCGCCATGACTACATGACCATGCCGCCTGCTAAAATCCTATTGGTTCATAAACAAACAACGGATCGTCATCCCATACTCATTTCTAACCGTTCGATCAAAGTCTGAAAATCCGAATTGCAGTCTACTCTCATTGGCAGAAACAGAAGCACGCGGATCGCTGTCACCCCTCACCCTACGACTCCCTACACCATGAGCGCAGTACAAATACCACCCCTTGCCTTTTTACCATCACAGAATACTCCAAAATTCAAACAAAGCTCAAAAGGTTCTCAAAATATTTTTCCCTCTCAAAACTCAGAAATTTTGATCTCGTCAATTTTTCAAGAACATATAATGGAATCTGCAAAGACAACAATTACGAAGGGTGCCGGAGGCCGAAAGGGTGGCGAAAGGAAGAAGTCCGTACCCAAATCGGTGAAGGCTGGGCTGCAATTTCCGGTGGGTCGAATCGCTCGTTTCCTCAAAAAGGGCCGGTACGCTCAGCGAGTTGGTATCGGAGCCCCGATTTACATGGCTGCTGTGCTTGAATACCTCGCTGCTGAGGTAAATTTACGGATAATTGATGAAGGATTTCTGGGATTTTCCCTTGTTTATTCTGTTTTATTTATGAAAAATACATAAATGAGTCACCACAAGGCATGGATTTCGTTGCTATCTTGACTAAATCTAAGACGGCTATGTTTATTTGTTTAAATCTTGTTTAGAAATTTCAAAAAATCTCCTAAATGAGTTGAAATGGTTTCCATTTAAATTGTATTCTGACGTTTTAGGTGTTGGAATTGGCTGGAAATGCTGCACGGGACAACAAGAAGAGTCGAATTATTCCGAGGCATGTGCAATTGGCTGTAAGGAACGATGAAGAACTGGGAAAATTGCTGCACGGTGTAACAATTGTAAGCGGTGGAGTTTTGCCAAATATTAACCCGGTTCTTCTGCCAAAAAAATCCAATGAGTCCGAGGATAAGTCCGCCAAGTCCCCAAAGGCTTCCAAATCTCCAAAAAAAGCTTAGATTTCTAGCAGTTCGACTATGTCTTTCTGTTTTTGCGAATGTAGAAATTTAGATTTTAATGAAAAATGCTTTGCCATTTGTGTTGGTGCACTTCACTCGTGTTTATTTTCTCTATGATCTTCTGTGGTTTATAGTTTTCTATAATATTTTATTCAGATGTCTTGTTCAATCCAGAGGGTTGTTTGATCTGCACCACCACTTTCAAGTTTCAACCTACGTTTTGGGTTAAATTTTCTTCAAAGTGAAGAAATAAAGGATGCAAAGATAAATAACAAAGGGAAATATTAAAGGCATTTCCAATGCTATTGCTTAAAACATTGAATTTCAATAAAATTTGGTGTAAAATGTATGCATCATTTAGGGCTCGTTTGGTAGGGATTTTGAGAATTGATTTTTTGACCGTTAAAAAAAAAGTGGGGTTCATATGTGAGAGAAGAAGTTAAAAATTACGGATTGAATAGTAAAATAACGGTTAAAAAATTAATTTTTTAGGACAAAAAATCCCTACCAAATGGGGTCTTAATTAAGATGCAACAAATTTTGATGCAAATTTTGGTTAGGTGGTGTTTGTTTTTTATTTTTGTAAAAATGAAAATGAAAAATATAATTGTTATGAGTTTCATATAAGATTTTATAAAAATTTAAATTTAATGATTTGATGTGATGAATAATAATTATATTTTTTATTTTAATGAAAAAAATAAGAAACAAATAGGGGTTTAATGTGGCACCAAATTTTGTACTATTATTTGGTTCAATACTATTTATTTTGTATTATTTTTTTGTGCAAAGTAAATAATGTTATTTTTATCTTTGCCTTTTCTTTTCCAAATAAATTGATTAAGGATATTTGTGTTATTTATATTTTTTAATATAATAAATTATTATTATTATTATTTGCATTTAAAATAAAATTTAAATGCAAAATAATAATTAAGGGATTAATTAGGTTTCATTTACGTTCAAGGACATGTCTATTTAATATTTAGTTGATTATGTCTATTTTTAAAGATACAATTTCAATGATTTAATTTAAATTTGTGAATGTTTCAGATATTTCTTATAAAGAAAATTATTTTATTGTTCTGCCTATAATATAAGAAAAATTAAATTTTTGGTAACACTTCAAAATTTATGAAAATTTAGAGTTTCACATCAGCCACTCGTGAAGGTATAATCCTTGAACTCCCAAAACCTTTAGGAACCATTTTTTAGAAGAGAGATGTACAGTAGTTTTTCTGACACTTAGAGGCCACCAAAGAAGTGGCACTGAAGTCAATTTGCATTGCAAACGAAATAGAGAAAATAAGCTATTATCCTAAATAAGAAAAATTCTTTAAAATAGATAAGCTAGTACATAAGAAACTTAGGGTGCGTTTGATTACAAGTAGGAAAATTACATGGAAAGAAAATGAATTCCAAGGAATTGAATTACCTAGAAATTGTTTTCATGGAAATTGTAAATTATTGTGTTTGATTGTATAAATTTTTCACGTGGAAAATGTTGAAGTAAAAGTATTTTTTGATGTTCGTTTGACTTTGTTTTACGTGAAAATTGTCAATTTCAGGGATATCCTCTTTTACAATTATTCCTAAAATTTGTTCCCATTGCCAACAATTAAAAAAAAAAAAAAAAAAAAGCAAAAAAAAAAAGAAAAAAAAAAGGTGGAAAACCAAAAACCACCTATCCCCTAGGAAAAAAAAAGGTGGAAAATCACGCTTTACGGTGTTGTACCTAGAAATTCATAGAAAATCAATTCCCTGGAAAATTTTGTCAATCAAACAGGCCAAAAGTGGAAGTTAGAATTCGAATTCCAAGTTCCATGGAAAATTTCGTGCAATCAAACGAGGCCTTATAGTGACTTGAATACGAATGTCGTAAAATTTTGGGTTAGAGGTATGGAGTAGTCTCTCAACTTCATTAACTTCAGAACTTAAATTAAGAACATGTGCTATCAAATCACGAAACACGTTCAGAGCTTGACCGCGAAGGAGAGTCGATTGTTTATCTATATCAACATAGTCAAATAAGCCAACTTTCGTAATGCCCCCCCCTCCCCTCCCCCCCACCATAATTCTAGCAATCCGATGTTACCAAAGATTAATTTTTTAACGTGCTAAATATGAAAGAGGCTTAAGAAAGAAATATTATCATTCTATTCTTTGAAGAGAGATGATAGAAATATATATACAGCTAGATTTCTATATTAGGAAATTATATACAAAATAGGAATCTCTATAAATCCCTATAAATATATCTAATTTACATCCCGAAACACTCCTCTTCAAGTTGGGGCATAGATATTAATCATGCCCAACTTATTACAAATATTATCAACTCGAATTCCATTTAGAGCTATTGTGAAAATATCTTTCAATTGTTCTCCAATCTTCACATATTCCGTAGAGATTAAATTCTGCTGCACTTTCTCACGAATAAAATGACAGCCAATCTCAATATACTTAGTTCGTTCATGAAACACAGGATTAGAAGTAATATGAAGAGCAGCTTGATTGTCACACCACAACTTTGCTGGTATTGAAGTCTTAAGGCCAACTTCAGTTAAGAGCTGATATATCCACATTTTCTCACGCATAGACTGTATCATAGCTCTATATTCTGATTCTGCACTAGATCGGGAAACAACATTTTGCTTTTCACTTTTCCATGAAACCAAATTTCCTCCAACAAAAACACGATAGCAAGTAGTAGATCTTCGATCAATCTTGGAACCTGCCCAATCTGCATCTGAAAAGCATTCGATGTGAGTATGTCCATGATTTTTGTATAGTTTCCCACGTTTGGAAGCTCCTTTTAAATAACACAGGATCCGCTCTAAAGCTGCCCAATGGTGAATTGTTGGGGAAGACATGAATTGGCTCACAACACTGATAGGATACACAATATCAGGACGTGTTACAGTAAGATAGTTCAATTTCCCAACCAGTATTCTATACTTTTCAGGATCTTGAAATAGGTTAGCATCTTTAGTAAGAAGCAAATTAGAAAGCACTGGAGCACTACTTGGCTTAGCTCCCAACTTTCCTATCTCAGTTAACAATCAAGCACATAGTTTCTCTGAGATAAGAAGATGCCTTTGTTACTTCTTGTTACCTCAACTCCCAAGAAATACTTCAACACTCCTAAATCTTTCGTGTGAAATTGGGCGTGAAGGAAAGACTTCAAAGATGAAATTCCCATATTATTACTACCAGCAATAACAATATCATCAACATACACAACAAGGAGAATAATACCGAATTCGGACTGTTTGTAGAAGACTGAGTGGTCAGACTTGCTTTTTTTCATTTCAAACTTTTCCACTGCCTGACTAAATTTTCCAAACCAAGCATGTGGACTCGGTTTCAAACCATATAAGGACTTTCGAAGATGACACACTTTCCCATACTCTCCCTGAGCAACAAACCCAGGTGGTTGCTCTATATAAACTTCCTCCTGGAGATCACCATACAAGAAAGCATTTTTTATGTCTAATTGATGTAAGGGCCAATTTTGAGTATCTGCAATAGAAATGAATAAGCGAACATATGTTAATTTAGCTATAGGAGAGAAAGTGCCAGAATAATCCACACCATACGTCTGAACATAGCCTTTGGCTACAAGATGAGCTTTAAGCTAGCCACTGATCCACCAAGATTGAATTTGACAGCAAACACCCACTTACATCCAATAGCCTTTTTTCCTACAGGTAAATTTACTAAATCCCAAGTACCATTAGCATCTAAAGCATTAATCTCCTCTATCATAGTATGACGGCAACCAATATGGGATAAGGCTTTATGATCAATTTTGGAAGAGTCACGGAATCTATGGAGGCAACAAAAGAGCAAGAAGAAGAAGACAAGTGATTATAAGAGACAAATGATGAAATAGGATAAGTGCACTGACATGTACTTTTGTGAAGAGCGATAGGTTGTTCAAGATCACTGGACACTGGATCCAATGTCGAAGAAGAGTCAGGTGCTGAACATGTATCAGGAGGGTTTCGTCGTTTGGAGTACACCTAGTATTGGGGGTAATGTGGGAGCAATAGATGTAGACGCAACATTATTTGACGGTAAGTGACATGATAAATCAGCAGATCATCATCCGCGCTCTTACTAAAAGAAGTATAAGAAGTAGGAAAGAAAGGAATATGTTCTAGAAAGGTGACATTAGCAGACACAAGATACTTGTTAAGACTTGAACAGTAGCATTGGTACCTTTTTTGTAGATGAGAGTAACCTAGAAAAACACATTTTAAGGATTTGGAATCTAATTTAGTTACATAAGGACGAACATTACGAACATAGCAAGTACTACCAAATATTTTAGGTTCAATAGAAAACAATGGTTTAGTAGGGAAAATGACACTATAAGGAACCCCACCATGAAGAATAGATGAAAGCAGTCGATTAATAAAAAATAGGCTATGGAGACAGCATCGGCCCAAAATTGTTTAGGAACATGCATTTGGAACATTTGTGCTCTGACTGTCTCAAGAAGATGTTTATTTATTCTTTCAGCCACACCGTTCTTAGAAGGTATGTCAACACACGAGGATTGATGAAGAATACCATTCTGAAGCATGTAAGTTTGGAAAGAATCGGAAAAATATTCTTTTGCATTATCACTTCTCAAAGTATGTACCGAAACATTAAACTGTGTTTTAATTTCAACACAAAAGGCACTAAAATGAGAGAATAATTCAGAACGATTCTTCATTAAATAAAGCCAAGTCACACGAGAAAAATCATCAACAAAGATAACAAAATAATGAAATCCAGTTTTGGACACGACAGGACATACTAACTCAAAAGGACAACTAGCTCTTTTATCTCGAGGAACTGAGGACATGCGATGATGTTTCGCAAATCGACATGACTCACAATCTAAAGACGACACACTCTGAAATTGAGGGCATAATTTTTATAACAAGGATAAAGATGAATGTCCCAATCGACAATGTGCTTCAAAAGGGGTTAAGACACCTGAACAAGTAATGGACTTGGGCACCTGGGTCTCCAAAATATAGAGACCGCCTGATTTACGTCCTTTAGCAATAATCTTCTTTGTCACAAGATCCCGAAAAAG